TTTAGGGGCTTTGGGGGCTTTGGGGGTTTAGGGTTTTGGGGGTTTAGTGGTTTAGGGGCTTTGGGGGTTTAGGGTTTAGGGGTTTAGGGGTTTGGGGCTTTGGGGGTTTAGGGTTTAGGGTTTAGGGGGCATCTATGTTCCCAAATTCAATCAGCCAATTATTCAGTCTTTGATCAGTCAATTAACTCGCCAAGCGATCAGTTCACAACTGAATTAACTAGGTATAAGTATTTAAATAATAATTAAGTAGTTCAGAGACGTGATTAAGGCATTGGAGGGATAATGCAGATACCTGGCTAAGTTCCTCTGGCAAAGGTTTTTGGGGATCTTAATGTCTTAACGATTGGATCCGCAGGCTCTCGTGGGCTATCGTAAGGCTTCAAAGGCTTCAAAAGTGTTTTCGGGAGGTCTATAAAGACATCTCTACTTCTTTTGTTTCTTCAAGGGTTCCTGGGAAGAAGGGCTTACGGCTTAGGGTGCCGAAGCTTCGGGTACAGGATTCGAGTGCACGATGTTTCCGAGCCTGGGCTTTCAAGTTCAGGATTTCTGATCCAAACCCTACTGTCGGGCTTCGAGAGTTGAGGCTTTGGGGGTTAAAGGGTTTAGGAAGTTTAGGACTTTAGGGTCTCATTTGGGATGGCGTTGAGGGGTCAGGTGTTTCGGGCTTTTCAGTTTTTTTCTCGGCCTTACCCCAAGCAGTGGACCCAAGGCCCCCCAGGCTAGAACCCAGAGTACAAAACCAAAAAAGACACACTGCCGCAAGCATGAGACCCCTTATTATGATTGCAAACCAGGCGCAATTTTATACTAGCCAGCCAACAACCCTAAAACTTTAAACCGCGGATCTTGCACATAAGCGCAACATCATTTTGACAGTTTGCGTCTCTGCTGACAATCTCATCGTCGCTCCTTCTTCAGAGCCGCCCTGTTCATGCGGTGTGGGTCTTGGCTCTCCTCTGTGTTTGGCGGAGGGCCTGTCTGAGTTGCTGGTCTGGTGCTTCATCCTCGTAAGCGGGCTCGACCCCAAACCCTAAACCCTAAACCGTAAGAGGGCTCGACAAGCATCTGAAGGCGATTCGGATTTAAACTGCCCTTGACCTTCTTGAGCATCCAACTGCTCGTGCAAACTGCCGTGCAACTGTCAGTGCACGCTGTAACGAGCAAAGGGGTGGCACCACCTCCAAGTGAGCTGCGATGAACACTGGGGTGTCGCCATCGTTCTTCGCCTTGTCCATGTTAGCCTTTGCATGCAACAAAAGGCGTGCGACCTCCAAGTGCCCCCGATGAGCTGCGATGGACAGAGGGGTGGTGCCAAGGTAATTGGCCTTGTCCTTGTCAGCCTTTGCGTCCAACAGAAGGCGTGCGACCTCCAAGTGCCCCCGATGAGCTGCGATGGACAATGGGGTGTCGCCATCGTTCTTCGCCTTCTCCATGTTAGCCTTTGCATGCAACAAAAGGCGTGCGACCTCCAAGTGCCCCCGATGAGCTGCGACGAACAATGGGGTGGCGCCATCGTTCTCGGCCTTGTCCATGTTAGCCTTTGCGTCCAACAATAGGCGTGCGACCTCAAAGTGCCCCTTCTCAGCTGCGATGGACAGAGGGGTGGTGCCAAGGTCATCCACCTTTTCCTTGTCGGCTTTGGCCTCCAACAACAGGCGCGCCACCTCCAAGTGGCCGCGTTCGGATGCGATGAGCAATGGGGCTGGATCGCCCAAATCCGGGTCTTGTGGCCTTTGCAGAATCGTCTCCACGACTGATGCCTGGCCACTTCTGGCAGCACCTCGAAGCTCTGCTTCTTGCAGTGCAGATGTTGAGCTGAAGTTCACAAGCACAAGCTGAACATCGCCAGGTTTCAAGATGTGCTCGTCATCCGTGTCACTCAACAGGATGTCATCGCCAAATATCAGCAGCCGTTGCCTGAATCTTGGCTGCCCGCAGAAGCTGTGCAACTGTTGCTTCAGTGCCCGGACAGGAGAGCTCTCTGCAGTGAGCGTGTCAAAAAAGCTCTGCAACTCAATTGTGACGAGGACTTCCCCCGACACTGAGCGAATGCGTAACATCCGTGGCTCGTGCCATGTAAGAGTACCCTAAGGGTCCATGTACTCATATAGTAAAAATATATATACATTGGCCTTCAAGTAGTCTCTACATAAGGACATTGGGGCCAACGTATACAATATTTGGGTACACCTAAAAAGGTTTATAGGATTCATAGTATAAGGGCCATAGAGCCCTTACTTTTAAAGGTCATTTCGTGCTTAAGGTAATAGTATACTCAAGCAGCAACTCTCGGCTCTATCAATTCTGCTTAAGCCTTGGCAAAAAGGCAGCCCGCACGCTTTAAGACATGCATGGACGATATAATGGCCACGAAAAGCTAGAGGGAGGGTTCAAGAGGGCAACAAGTTGCCTAAACGCACTACTTGGGAACCTCGTCTTCAGAGACCGCTGTAGAGCTCTAACTTATAAAACACCTAAACAACAGAACTCCACATAAAAACCCGAAACCCCAAACCCTGGAGGACCCCTTTGAGGGTTGGAAAGGGCTTTTATGTTTGAAGCCAGTCTCGAGGCACCAGCTGGGACGACCAAATTCAGGTCTGATTCACTGAGCTTCGAAAAGAGTTTAGGGTTTAGGGGTTTAGGGTTTAGGGTTTTGCAATGCCCCTATGCTCCTTTTCTTTGACTGAACCCACGGCTGGACTTGATGAGGTGTATGTCCAGAAAGAAGGCATGTCTCAGAAAGTCGATCACCCACACATTCTGCGAAGTCATCCGAGCGTAACCGGAATGGTTGTAATCCCCGAAACCCTGCAACCCCAGATCGTGGACTTATACATCCTAAACCCTAAACTCCCCAACCCCTGGCAAACCTAAAGCCCCCAAACCTCTCAACCCAAAACCCTTTTTGCAAACCCTCCCCAGCAAACCCAAGGACAAGACCTGCTTCGGACATAGTAAGGCTGGCCAAGCTCCGCCGTGACCGGAGCGTGCGCCCTCAGTTGGATTCGTCTTGTGGCTTCAGGGCTTCTCGGATGTAGGGCTTTGTCGGGTTGAAGGCTTGTAGTGTAGGAGCTTCAGCGCTCACACTCGGACAATCCAAGAGGATCTTGCGAGTACATTGGCCTAGTTCGATACCCTCGGATATCATCCATGACAACCCAGTGCGGTTTTTACCCTCCTCTGTCGTCGGTCCACAGCAAGGGTTTGGAGTTTGGGCTTGATGGGCATAGGGCTTACGGGTACTAGGGTTTGTAGGAATGTATTCTTTCGTGTTTCAGAGGATTTCATGCGAGGCATATGTTTTTTTCGAGTGGAATGCCATGTAGATTCACGCGGGGCAATACTTGCACTATCCTTGCGTGCATGTCGGGACCGGTGCTGCTGCGCACCTTGAAGTTTCACAGGTCAGCCCTCTACGTAGCTACATACACCGGTTAGTCAACCCTGTACGGCCTTTTATCCGAGGGGACTTGAGCAAGGCAGTCGGCAGGTTAATGCAGGTGCAAAGGATCACAAAAGTAGTATTGGAGGCAGGGTAAAATCTACACACCTTGCCGGCAACCTGGAACCCGACCCCTAAAGCGATCTACGAGAGATGATCCCTAAACCAAAAGCCCCATCCCAAGACCCTAAACCCTGCCCCCAAAAAGTATCAAAACCCCGACAAACCCCTTTACCCGATAAAATCTCAGAAAACCTTACATGACAAACCCACAACCCCAAAACCCGAAAAAACATCCCCAACCCTAAACCCTATAAACCCTATACACCCTATAAGCCCTAAACCCTAAACCGAAAGGTGTCAGAACGCCCTGTTTCTTCAATCCGAAGGGCTGGGGGCTGGCAGACCGCGCCACGGTGCGCTGGCCGGTATCTGCTACTCCGAAGATGCCTCGCGCTCTCTTTGATTGAGTTTTCGGTTTGTAGGGTTATAGGGTTATAGGGTTTAGGGTTTGTGGTTCAGCTCCCATCTGTGAGGCTGAAAACTTAGCTCTGTTTTGGTTTTGGCATGAGGATTCTGCACCAAATCGTAAGCTCATTCTGCGGGCGCTAATCGTTTGACCAGGGTTGTGGCGGGGCGGGGCACTGGGGTGGGGTGCGCAGATTATGTTCGCAGCGTCCTGATGGGTGTGAGACGAGGGATCCATCCACGAAGCTTGCTTTTGGAGTCCAGGAGCACCTCTGGTTTAGGGTTTAGGGGTTTAGGGGTTTAGGGGTTTGGGGTTTAGGGGTTTAGGGTTTAGGGCTTCACCTCCAGTGCTAGCCACGGTTTAGGGTTTCAGGGCCGTGGCCTGCTTGCACATCGGCGTCGTCAAGAAGTCATGTCGGGACATGGCTGCATGATGAACTTGTTAAGAGAACAGTGATATGGAGTTTTTTCTCTGTAGTGCTAAAAACCTAAAACCGAAACCCTAAGCCCTAAAGCCCTAAACCCTAAATCCGCGAAGCTCTTTGAGGGTTCAGCCTCAATGGCTTAACGTAGGAATCTGATTAAGAAGCCCTGGGTCGTTATCAGGGTTCTTAATATGAATCCTAGTATAAGGGCCTTATAGGGCCAGGGTTTCCTAATCAGGTTCCTACAGTCCTACAGTACTAAACTGAGCAGTTGAGGGTGTAGGGACCTCAGGGTTTATACGGTCTAGGAACTGCCGGGGTCAAGGTCTAGGGTTTCAGGCTTCTTGACTTAAGAAGACTGAACTCGCGCTTCCCAGAACCTTAGAGCCCAAAAACCACAAAAAAACGCGAACCGAAGAAATCCTACACCAACAGCTCCCCTAACCTCCCGAACCACAGAGGCCAAACCCTAAACCAGGGGCTCAGGAGAAGCCGTTGCGGTTCGCCTGGGACGGGCGCAGCGATGTACTCCGACCTGCTGATCAGTGTCACATGCAGAAGTCTCAGAAATCAATATAAGGGACTAACACTTTGTTAAACCCTAAACCCTTAACTATACCCTATAAACCCTACACCCAAATTAAATGATTCAGGCTCGTAGATTAGAGTGCCTGGGGAGTGGGCTTTGGGGTGGATGCCGACTGCTCCGGGGTATTGCGAAGCTAAGGCCGGGCTTCGGGTGTAACTCACATCACTATCTGAACAATGACCTTGATAGTAACCCTTGAAGGAACCCTTAAACTCCTTAAAAGGAGCCCTTAGAGGAGCCCTTAATGGAACCCTTAAAAGGAACCCTTAAAGGAGCCCTTGACGGAACCCTTACACAAACTTTGAAGGAATCCTTCACCTAATCGCCTTTCCGTACAAGAAAGAAAGGTATTATGTCGGACTGCCGCTTGCTGCGATGGAGCAAAACCTAAACCCAAAACCCTACACCCCAAACCCGTAAGCCCCTAAACCCTATAAACCTGCCCCTAAATCCTACATCCCAAAATTCGTAAACCCCCAAAACCCTAAACCCTTTTTAAGCACGG